GACATCTTAGATATGCTTATTTAAATTTTGAGGCTTTGAAACTTCTAGAAAAGTATAATATGGTGACAGGAATGCCAAAAATTGATCGTCCAACAAAACTATGTGAAGTATGTGTCATGACTAAACAATAAAGAAAGCCTTTCAAAGTGAGAAGAACAAAAAGAGCATGACATCGACTCGATCTGGTGCATTCGGATGTTTGTGGCCCTATCAATCTAGTAACACTTGGAGGAAGCAGGTATTTTCTTACATTTACTGATGATCATAGTGGCAAAACTTGTGTTTACATGTTAAAAGAAAAGAAAGAAGTTTTAAGCAAATTCAAAGAATTTAAGGATTTGGTTGAAAGACAAAGTTGTTGTAAGATTAAATGTATAAGAACAGATAGAGGTGGTGAATATATATCAAATGAATTTGAAAGTTTTTGTAGAAATAATGAAATTCGACATCAATTCACTATGTCATACACACCTCAACAAAATGATGTCTCAGAAAGAAAAAATAGGACTATCCTTAATATGGTCCGATGTATGTTAAAGGAAAGAAAAATTCCGAAAGAATTTTGGGGTGATGCTGTTGCTTGTGCAGTTTATTTGCTTAACAGGTTTCCGACAAAGCGAATTGGTAATGTTACACCAGAAGAAGCATGGAGCTTACAGAAACCAAGAGTTGATCATTTGAGGACTTTTGGAAGTGTTGCATTTGCCAAGATACCAGAAGAGAAGAGAACAAAATTAGAGGATAAAAGTCAAAAATGCATTTTGCTAGGTTATCCAGAAAATTCCAATGGTTACAAACTCTACAATCCTATGACAAATAAAGTTGTGATGTCAAGAGATGTTGAGTTTGATGAACAACAGATTTGGAACTGGAAAAGTGATGAGCAGCATAAGAAAGCTATAGTTTCAGAAGAAGATGATATAATACAAGCAAGCACCGAAGTTGCTTTGCCAGAATCATCACCTAGATCAGCTAGGTCACATTATTCAAGAAGTCCAATTATAAGAAGGACAAGACCGATTCAGGACCTATATGATATGACTCGAAGGATTGATACTAACAATGATGAACTTTCTTTATTTTGTCATTTTGCAGGATATGATCCATTAACCTTCGAAGAAGCTTATAGAGATGAAAAATGGCGACAAGCTATGAATGAAGAGATTCATGCAATTAACAAAAATAATACATGGGAGCTTACTACACTTCCAGAAGACCACCAAGCTATCGGTGTTAAGTGGATCTTCAAAACAAAAAGAAATGCAAAAGGAGAGGTGGAGAAATACAAGGCCAGATTTTGTTGCGAAGGGATATAAACAACAATATGGGATTGACTATGAAGAAGTATTTGCGCTAGTTACTCGATTGGAGACAGTAAGATTACTTATCTCTCTAGCAGCTCAAATGAAATGAAAGATTTTACAAATGGATGTCAAATCAGTATTTCTTAATGGAGTTTTTGAAGAAGAGGTATATATTCAACAACTCCCTGGTTTTATTATTCAAGAACAAGAAGACAAAGTATACAAGTTAAAGAGAGCTCTTTATGGGCTTAAACAAGCCCCACGAGTATGGAATTCTCGAATAGATACTTATTTTATTAAAAATAGTTTTTCTAAATGTTCACATGAATATGCTCTCTATACGAAATCTAACTCTAATGGAGATATCTTGTTTGTATGCCTGTACGTAGATGATTTAATATTTACAGGCAATAGTAGCTCCATGATTATAGATTTTAAGCACTCTATGAAAAAGGAGTTTGAGATGACCGACTTGGGCTAAATGACTTATTTCCTTGGTATCAAAGTTATACAAGATAATGAAAAAATTTTTATCTCATAAGAAAATTATGCAAAGGAGGTTTTAAAGAAGTTTTCCATGGAAGATTGTCATCCTACAGATACACCTGTTGAATATGACACCAAGTTGACCAAGGAAGGTGAAGATAAATACATTAATCAAACTTATTATAAAAGTCTAGTTGGATGTTTAAGGTATTTGACATGCACTCGACCTGATATACTATTTGGAGTTGGTTTAATAAGTAGATTTATGGAAGTTCCAAAGACATCTCATTTAAATGTCGCTAAAAGAATTTTACGATATATCAAAGGAACAATTGAGTATGGAATATTTTATTCATCATCTAAAAAGTTGGAGCTCATTGGATATAGTGACAGTGATTGGACCGGAAGCTACGATGATCGGAAGAGTACAACTGGATTTGTATTTTATTTTGGTGAAGCTACATTCACTTGGTCTTCAAAAAAACAACGAATCGTTGCTCTATCAAGTTGTGAAGCAGAATATATAGCAGCTTCTTCTAGTGTTTGTCATGCAATATGGCTAAGAAGATTACTCCAAGAACTTCATATGCCACAGGAGAAGTCAACCAAGATTTATGTTGATAACAAATCAGCTATTGCCTTAGCCAAGAATCCAGTCTATCATGAAAGATCGAAGCATATCGATACAAGATTTCATTTCATAAGATATCATATAAAAAATAAAGAAATGGAGATACATCATGTCAAGACAAGTGAACAAGTGGTTGATATACTCACAAAACCTCTTAAATTTGAAATATTTCAACAACTTCGAAGGAAACTTGGCATGCTGGATGGAACAAGTTTAAGAGGGGAGAATGTTGGAATTAAAATTGTTCAAGTATCATAAAAAGGTTCATTGCATCAAGTAGGAGAATTATTACATCAAGAAGAAAAAATGAATTAGAAGTCTATAGAAGGATAAGTCAAATTGGTTATTGGTTCTTGAAAGGGTTTCTTGAAAGAAAATGATTCATCTTGAATACAATTAATATAATGTATCTTTGGGGACTATATAAACCCCATATGTTGGGTCATGAGGGTAATAGAGTTTCTGAAATTGTAAAAGTATATTTCTTGATAGAAATATAGAAGATTAAAGCTTGTCATACTCTTCTTCTATTTCAAATCTCTATCCTCTTCCTATCAACATCAACATAGATCAGCTCCAAGAAGTCCAATGCTGAATGCAGTTGACACAAACACACAGTAGCGATGAAAGGAGTTAAGGACACTACTACAGACATTGATTCACTCAAGCTTGAAAGTCCAATGCTGAATGCAGTTGACACAAACACACAGTAGCGATGAAAGGAGTTAAGGACACTACTACAGACATTGATTCACTCAAGCTTTCAAGCGACAACACAGAAGAAATGCTCGAGTTGCAGATGGCCTTATTTGAATGGAAGCTCTACTTAATCGGATTCTGACACTCTAAATTCAAACAGAACACCAAGAAATCAAAGCTGATGAAAAGAATCATGCCTAAGATTGCTTCAGAGCCTCGAGTTCCTCGTAGAATACTTGCTTGAACAGCGGCATGTTCTCCGGCTCCATGGCCACCGCCAGCGACAGCCCCCCCTCCACGCCGGAGTCGTGCATGATGTACACCAATCCACTGAACTGCAGCGTCGCGCTCACCATGATCGCCGGCTTCCCCCACCCGAAGTCAGCCTCATAAATAGGCAGCCCCAGCCAGCTGATCACCCAGAGATCGGTGCCGGGAATCACCCATAAGCCCTTCTGCAGGCCTCTCACGTCTCGTTGCAGCTCCAAGTAGTCTATCAGCGACCTTATGTAGTCGTCATTTAGTCGAACAGTTGCGTCGTTGATCTTGTCGGCCCCAAACTCCAGCGAATTGGACAGGATCTCCCCGGCTTTTGCAACCGCCGATGTTCTAAAGATGCCATTGCCCACAAAGCCTGCGGGAAGCGGCGGCTTGACGCGGGTACGTGCGTCAGCCGTCATGTAGAGCCTCGTCTCTTGGTCGCCCCCCAGCTTGCGCGCTTTGCATGCTGACCGCCATACGTGAGCCGTCACTGCTTTGAAGGTGGAGAGACCTTTCTTTCCGCCTCCGCTGCCCTTGAGGAGATGTAGCTGTTCTTTCGATAGCTTAAGAATGGCGGTATCGAAAGGGGCCTTGCCGGTGGGCGGCTTGGCTGCTGGCTTTTGAATGTACTCGACGTAGTCGAAGAGGACGGTCGGCGGTGACCGGGCACGGAGGAGGGTTCGGTCGAGGGACGGAGGGGCAGAGACGTTGATGCCTCGGGCGATGTCGGACCATGAATTGACGAAGTGAAGCGCGCCGAGCCCGTCGGCGGCAGTGTGATGCACTGCTACGCCCAAGCACACGCCGCCGCACTTGAAGAGGATCACCTGCAGTAGATTTGGTTGAGGTTTTAGCCGATGCCGTGGACATGGCGAACAATCGACAAGAACAATGACAAAAAATTAAAGGGGGGAAGATCACCTGAACCATGACAAGGGGGCAAGGAGCGTTGCCGGACTCCACGGATGGCACCAGCATCTGCCTTATCGTATCCGAAGGAGCGAAGTCGTCAAGGACGTCGTCCATGGCGGAGGCGGACCGGGCGACCATGAAGAGGGCGCCCTCCCCGGTGCACTGGATCTCGACCCTGCCGGCTGGGTCCAGCCCGAGCCGGCCGGCCAGGGGGTAGAACGGCACCAGAACCTTGGCCAGCGCCGCCTTCAGCGCCTCTACGGCGAAGGAAAAGCCTCCGATCGGACGGGCGGCGCTGGGGGGGTAGAAGTAGACGGTGGGGGTGTGGGAGCGACCCACCAGTAGGTCCAGGTTGGAGAGCCAGATGCTGTGTGTCGGGGTCTCCTCGGCCGGAACCACCATACCTGATTCAATGGTCTCCATCACTGTCTCTCTCTCTCTCTCTCTCTCTCTCTCTCTCTCTCT